AATGATATGACGGCTAATGTAAACGACACGGTGAGGAATGTTGGAGGGGATTTGGTGGAGCAGGTACGCTCTGATATCTCTTTTTTTTCTATTTGTGCTTACAAATAAAGTTGTTTTCCTTTCTGTTCTATTTAACGAAACATGCTCCAACAATAGATGTGCATTTGCAAGGAAAAAAATTGGAGCGTCACATAGAATTGTTTATGCGTTAGCAACTGCAAAGAATGTGCTGCAGCTGTTTTTGAGCAAATAGAGCGTAAGGACGCGCGGCGATGCTAGTAATTCAATTCCGAGATGTCGATCTGCGTTCAATTTCGTGCAAATGGATTTTAGCACAGTTGTGGTAAACACTTTCTTATCTATCTAAAGGGCCTCTCAGCTCCTGTCAACTTTCCCAGATAACACCTTTGCGTTGACGAATGCTGAAAATGCTGTTGCAAATGAAATTTGCCAAATTTGCAGTTGTCTGATTTACAAATTTGAATTGCGTTTTGTACAATGTGCGAGGGCCGTCCTCGCTGCCTAATTCAATTTGCTGGGTTTAGGCAAAGTATTGCTGAGTTGTAGCGCACCTCACAACCCTCGCTACTTTGGCATCTTTGCTAGCTTGTTTATTTGAACTATCAGCTTTCTATGATCAAGCTTACATCAAAAATACTTGAATGGTTTGTGTAGGAAATCTTTACCATAATTGCTTGTGAATTGCCTTATCTCATGTAGCTTTCTACCAGGCATGAAAAAGTGAAGTCTCCTTTATCACTACTTATAGGTGAAACTCACGGATGAGTTCCTGAATAAGAAGAAAAATCGCCGCAGCCAGACATACCGTATTGTGTATAGAAGCCACTCCAAAGCACTAACCAAGGACGAAGTAAATGTTATCCACAAGAGGATTACTGATCAGCTTGTAGAACAATATGGAGTAACTATGCGGTAGAACCGTTCTGTTGTGTTTGTTATTGTCTTCTTGTTTATGCGGGTTAAGTTGCCAACTGTTGAATTTTGTTTGTTATAAGTCTTGTCATAAGATATCTGATGGCAACAACAAGATATCTGTTAAATTGATGAGTGTAGCCATAGAAGAATCATTAGCACATATACTTCGTGCTGACAAATCCGGTCAGATAAGGGCGTTGTAAAAGCGCAATTCAACAACGGGAGAGTGAGTGGAAGCGTTGTGTACGTTTAGGTTTAAGATTGATTGCTTAGGAGTCACCATATTTGATTTACACATAGATAGAACGTAGAATCCGCTTAATAAATAATTTTGAAATGTTTCTATTTTCTGGAACCGGTCTTCTCCCATTGTTTATTTTACGATT